CGAGGGCTCAGGCAGGAAGCAGCCAAAACGTATATAGTTATACCCATGTGTACGCACATATTCCTTCCCCTTCTACTAGGTACCTATCGTACGCACATTTTGGTCTTCCCCTCCGCTGCTGTAAACGTGCGTATAGTTCGGCTGGTCTGCCGCGACGGTGCGCTCAAATCAGTGGGAAAAAAGCGACACACTCTCTACCATAGGCACTGGCAATCTCCCTATTAATCTCTGGTTCCAGTTACACCAGACTTAATTATTAGGGAGGAGGCTGAAAAATTGTGGTCTACTGACAGAGTAAAGCTACTTTTGAATGCTTATACATAAATCAACCAGAATCACAATGAAAGTGGCTCCAATCTAACCAAAAAACAGTTTCCCGAAATATATGTTCCGAGATGGAAAAGCACGGTTTCAATGTGGGAGTAAGCCAAGTTGAACACAATTTACGAATCTTAAAAGATCACTATAAAAAGAAAATAGATAATTAGGGCCCCAAGTAATCAGGACGAGCTCGCCCAACAACACCTTATGAAAAGTAAGTTAATCATTTAAAAGTTTTTGCAATTGATGCAATTTAAAAAGGTTTTATTTACAGGGAACTATTCGATGCTTTTTATAGTGATCATGCAGTAAATCCCTTAGTAACCATCTGAGCAAACAAAATATATACTAACTCCTCCACATTTAATGAAACGCAACAAGAAGTAAGGAATGATAGCAAGTCATGTGAACAAGAGGTAATGTAAGGAATTGCACAGAATCAAAAAAAAGTAAGTGTTGTATTACCCTGTCACTTTGATTTTATTAAATTGTGATGCATTATCATTTGATGTAGGTACATTGTCTATTATATGGATATTTGTAGAAAAACAAAAAGGGGGCAGGACTCTCCAACTCTTTTAAAGTATAGTGTAACATTGAGAGCATCGGAAAAATATCTAAGAGAGCAATGGCACATTGAAAACAACCAAAAAAAAGATGAATTGATCAGTATGAAGAGAAAGGAGTACGAAGCTAAGAAAAATTACAGGCAGCAAATTTTGAAGATAAAAAAAATGAAATTGAAGTTAAAAGCTCAAAAGTATTCTCTGGCATCCATTAATTTTGACATCAATGATAATCCATAGTATTTTTGTAGTTTAATATTTATTGCTTTTGAAATTTTATGATAATTATTGTGCTCAGAACACTTGCATTTAATTTTATAAAGTCTATGAGAGTAATATTTTATATAGTCAAACTGTAGAAAACCAAAGCAAAACTATTGTCTACAGTGTGTAAGTAACCTTAATCAAACACTGGAGACAAAATCAAAGTTCGTGAATTATTTGTCTAGTGTAACATATTGTTGATCTCATTAACTTTCATGCATGTAACGTGACTGTGATTATAATATTAAGAAGATTAAATCAGTTACAATTATAAGAAATAAAACCAATACAATTGTAAGATTAATGAGATAAAACCAGGAAAAAAAAAAATCTGGGATAAAACAATGTTGACACATACATAATGTTTATTTATATGTTTATTCTAAGCATATAAATAAACATTATGTATGTGTCAACATACATAATGTTTATTTATATGCTTAGAATACACATATAAATAAACATTATGAATGTTGACACATACATAATGTTTATTTATATGTTTATTCTAAGCATTGTTTTTACGATATGTAAAAACAATGCTTAGAATAAACATATAAATAAACATTATGTATGTTGACACATACATAATGTTTATTTATATGTTTATTCTAAGCATTGTTTTTACATATCGTAAAATGTCATATCAGTATTTTTTGTACTTAGTGAAATAAATAATTTGAATTCACATAAATCTTTGTAAAATGTTCTTTCTTTTATCACGTCCATCTTCATCAAAGTGAATATCATCAATGAAGTCTGCATCGTTACAACTTCCATCTTGGCAATTGTTATGAACTTCTAAAGCTAGCTCAAGGTGGACTGTATCTCTTTGTAAGACCATGTTATGTAATACACAACAAGATCTAATAACTTGCAACCTTCGAGCACCTGGTCTTAATCGCAGACGGTAGAGACATCTAAATCTGGATAAATTAGCAAATTAGCACTTCAATGCAAATAATTTTTTATCACATATATGTTTCATTAATACCTTTGTTTCAGAATCCTAATTGTATGTTTAACAGATACTCGGGATTTGGATGGATGTTGATTGAACCTTCTATGGACTCTTTCTAGATGATCATTATCTTTAAAAGGAGTGATGAGCTGTTTTAGGCAAGGGTAAGCTGCATCACTAAGTAAATGTCCACCTGTAAGAGATTTTTTAAACATATTCATGTGTAATAATATATATTTTTCAAATCTTACATAAATGAAAAATGATTACGTACTGATATCAGTCTCTGTCACTCTTTTGTACACTGAAGAATTTCTGAAAACCCTAGCATCATGCATTGAGCCTGGGTATCCACAATACATGTCAATAATACGAAGATTGTGGTCGCATACAATTTGCAGTTGCGGTGAAAAATAATATTTTCTGTTGTAATAGCTGTTGGGACTCTCCTTGGGCTGTCATGACATTGCAATCTTAATGTGTGTTCCATTGATACATCCAACAAGATCTGGAAAATTATATTTCTGAAGATAGTGTTGTTTAGTGGACAAAGATTCTTCTTCGTTAGGCCATGTAATAAACATTGGAGCTAAACTTCCAATGAAATCTGACAAGTTAGATATTATGTCAAATAAATTGCTGATCAAACAAGTTGGTCACCTCCCTGTATGTCGCAACTTGATGACCAACGAACCATAGATAGCAGTACATTTTTTTTGGGGTGATGTATGCTTGACGTTTTCTAGAAATTATTTAAATGCCTTATACATATATATANGGTCTACTGACAGAGTAAAGCTACTTTTGAATGCTTATACATAAATCAACCAGAATCACAATGAAAGTGGCTCCAATCTAACCAAAAAACAGTTTCCCGAAATATATGTTCCGAGATGGAAAAGCACGGTTTCAATGTGGGAGTAAGCCAAGTTGAACACAATTTACGAATCTTAAAAGATCACTATAAAAAGAAAATAGATAATTAGGGCCCCAAGTAATCAGGACGAGCTCGCCCAACAACACCTTATGAAAAGTAAGTTAATCATTTAAAAGTTTTTGCAATTGATGCAATTTAAAAAGGTTTTATTTACAGGGAACTATTCGATGCTTTTTATAGTGATCATGCAGTAAATCCCTTAGTAACCATCTGAGCAAACAAAATATATACTAACTCCTCCACATTTAATGAAACGCAACAAGAAGTAAGGAATGATAGCAAGTCATGTGAACAAGAGGTAATGTAAGGAATTGCACAGAATCAAAAAAAAGTAAGTGTTGTATTACCCTGTCACTTTGATTTTATTAAATTGTGATGCATTATCATTTGATGTAGGTACATTGTCTATTATATGGATATTTGTAGAAAAACAAAAAGGGGGCAGGACTCTCCAACTCTTTTAAAGTATAGTGTAACATTGAGAGCATCGGAAAAATATCTAAGAGAGCAATGGCACATTGAAAACAACCAAAAAAAAGATGAATTGATCAGTATGAAGAGAAAGGAGTACGAAGCTAAGAAAAATTACAGGCAGCAAATTTTGAAGATAAAAAAAATGAAATTGAAGTTAAAAGCTCAAAAGTATTCTCTGGCATCCATTAATTTTGACATCAATGATAATCCATAGTATTTTTGTAGTTTAATATTTATTGCTTTTGAAATTTTATGATAATTATTGTGCTCAGAACACTTGCATTTAATTTTATAAAGTCTATGAGAGTAATATTTTATATAGTCAAACTGTAGAAAACCAAAGCAAAACTATTGTCTACAGTGTGTAAGTAACCTTAATCAAACACTGGAGACAAAATCAAAGTTCGTGAATTATTTGTCTAGTGTAACATATTGTTGATCTCATTAACTTTCATGCATGTAACGTGACTGTGATTATAATATTAAGAAGATTAAATCAGTTACAATTATAAGAAATAAAACCAATACAATTGTAAGATTAATGAGATAAAACCAGGAAAAAAAAAAATCTGGGATAAAACAATGTTGACACATACATAATGTTTATTTATATGTTTATTCTAAGCATTGTTTTTACATATCGTAAAATGTCATATCAGTATTTTTTGTACTTAGTGAAATAAATAATTTGAATTCACATAAATCTTTGTAAAATGTTCTTTCTTTTATCACGTCCATCTTCATCAAAGTGAATATCATCAATGAAGTCTGCATCGTTACAACTTCCATCTTGGCAATTGTTATGAACTTCTAAAGCTAGCTCAAGGTGGACTGTATCTCTTTGTAAGACCATGTTATGTAATACACAACAAGATCTAATAACTTGCAACCTTCGAGCACCTGGTCTTAATCGCAGACGGTAGAGACATCTAAATCTGGATAAATTAGCAAATTAGCACTTCAATGCAAATAATTTTTTATCACATATATGTTTCATTAATACCTTTGTTTCAGAATCCTAATTGTATGTTTAACAGATACTCGGGATTTGGATGGATGTTGATTGAACCTTCTATGGACTCTTTCTAGATGATCATTATCTTTAAAAGGAGTGATGAGCTGTTTTAGGCAAGGGTAAGCTGCATCACTAAGTAAATGTCCACCTGTAAGAGATTTTTTAAACATATTCATGTGTAATAATATATATTTTTCAAATCTTACATAAATGAAAAATGATTACGTACTGATATCAGTCTCTGTCACTCTTTTGTACACTGAAGAATTTCTGAAAACCCTAGCATCATGCATTGAGCCTGGGTATCCACAATACATGTCAATAATACGAAGATTGTGGTCGCATACAATTTGCAGTTGCGGTGAAAAATAATATTTTCTGTTGTAATAGCTGTTGGGACTCTCCTTGGGCTGTCATGACATTGCAATCTTAATGTGTGTTCCATTGATACATCCAACAAGATCTGGAAAATTATATTTCTGAAGATAGTGTTGTTTAGTGGACAAAGATTCTTCTTCGTTAGGCCATGTAATAAACATTGGAGCTAAACTTCCAATGAAATCTGACAAGTTAGATATTATGTCAAATAAATTGCTGATCAAACAAGTTGGTCACCTCCCTGTATGTCGCAACTTGATGACCAACGAACCATAGATAGCAGTACATTTTTTTTGGGGTGATGTATGCTTGACATTTTCTAGAAATTATTTAAATGCCTTCTGTATATACATATATATATCTACATGTGTTATAAAACTTGAATTTTTGAATTTAATAGAGATAGTACTTACCACTATTTAAAGGTTTGCAGTAATCAGAATCAACATACCATTGAATTAGCTGTTTTACAACACCTCGAGGAAGTCTTAAATGACTTGTA